TTAGAAGTTAAAAATAGTTTTACTTAGTAAAGAAAAAAGATTTTTTATACATCTTCAAAATTGAAAATTCTAAAAAATTTTATTATAAACTATTACTAAATCTGAACTGAACATGAACCTGACTTAAAAGTTTAATACTGAATCTGAACTGAACATGAACTTGACTTAAAAGTTCAATATTAAATATAATTGAACTGAACCTGAACCTGAACTTGATCAAAGTTCATTTCAGTTTAGGTTTATAGGAATACTACCTCTATACATAGTGTATAAGTTGTGTTATTGATATATATATAAAATAATAATTATAAATGCATTAAAAAGTAGTTTTAAATATATTTTTAATATAGTAATAGACCCAATTAGTGTTTTAGTGTTCTAGTGTTCATATCGGCAGATTTTTGAAATTTCTATTAAAATTTCAAAAATATTTAGTAATGAATAACTTTTGATCTGTTGGTCTGTTCTCAATAAAACAACTACCAAAATGTTCGTCTTAATGAGATAATTCTAATGAGTCAAAATTCAGTAAAATTCAATTACAGGATACAAAATTATAAATGATTTGTGTCACTTTAGGTGTTTTAGGATTGGTTTAACCAATTCTAAAACACCCAAATGACCCAAATTGTTATCAATCTTGGGATTTTGTGATTAGATTTTAACAATTTTGGACTCATTAGAATTATCTTATTGAGACGAATATTTTGTTTGTTGTTTTATCGAGAACAGACTAGTGGATCAAAAGCAATTCGCTGTTAAATATTTTTGAAATTTTAATAGTAAATTCCAAAAATCCATCGATATGTTTGCATTCTTGTATTTGTGGTCTAGTGTTGTGTTTTAGTGTCTTAGTGAATTAGAGTTCTAGCGTTTTAGAGTTCTAGTGTTTTAGAGTTCTAGTGTTTTAGCATTTAGTGTTCTAATATAGTAGATCTATATAGTGCATAAGTTGTATTCTTGATGTATATATAAAATATTTAAAGCTACTTTTTTGATGCATTTGTAATTGTTATTTTATATACATCAAGAACGCAACTTATGCACCATGTAGATTTACCATATTAGAACTCAGATACTAGAACGTTAAACAACTAGAACACTAAAACACTAAATACTAGAACCTAAAACACACTAATCGCGTTTATTACCATATTAGGAAATATTTTTAAAGTAACCTTTTTTTGATGCATTTATAGTTATTATTTTATATATACGTCAATAACGCAGCTTATACACTATGTAGATCTACCACATTGAATACTAAAAATACTAGAACATTAAAACACTAAAACACTAATCGCAAAACATGGCACTTTGCGTACCTACGATACACCGTAGACAAAACCTGGCACAGATCTTTTGTTTGCAAAAAACAGAGAAACCAGACTCTTGAGAATCAGATGGTGCCCAAAAAGGAAGGTTTACGCGAGCATATTTCAGGTGCCCATAAAGGAAGGTTTACGTAGACATATTGTACTTAAATTCACAATTAAATTTTAATTTATATAGTTGCTTATTGTTTTAGTATGTATAGCTTTTTAAACTAATAGCACAAATACACAAATAATCACTAATCCATCAATAAAAAAAGATATGTATCTCATTGTATTTTTTGGAAACGAACAGCGTTTAGAGGTTTTTTTTTTTTTTTAAATTGATAGTTAATGTATATTAATGCAATTTCAGAATTTATCCCAATGAATTCAAATAATCTGATCATTAATTCGTTGATGACAAAATGATAACGAAGAAAAATCTTATTATATATAGAATTCTAATTCTTCATCATATTTAGATTATAAATCCAACCTATTTAAATGGTACTGGTTATATTTCAATTGATAGATATCATGTAGGCTTATAATTCCATATCGATGGACTGTCCTTTAATTTTTTAATTAAACTAATAATGGTAAATGCTGAAATTGCAAATCGATTGAAAACTGTATCTCTAGTTCTTTTTTATCATTATATTTGAAAATAGAAGGTTATTATTGAAGGTCTTTCATAGGAAATGATGAAGCATTCTGCAGAAGCTTTTACAGACTTTACAGAAGATTTTATAGATTTCGCAGAAGTGATCAAATGCGTCTCAAATCTAATCGGGAAATATCATAATCCTTTAAAGTAAGTTGACAAGTCATGGGTACTTTTCCAGAAAATGAATTATGCGATTTTGTCAATTAAAAACAGATTTAGTAGATCTTCCAAAATGTAAATATTCTTGCACGTTGCTGAAAGTCTCGAAATCATAAGTCACATTGATGAGAATAAGATGAATATACAAGAAGCTAAAATAGTTAATATTTATATAATTATATAACTAATAATAATGAAGTTATTGATACAAAAATTATAACATATAAAGAACAAACGTCAATATAACTTGAATACAAGCTTTATGCTACGTAAATATAAAAATGTATAGACAAAAATAAGATCTAAATATGAAACTATTTATTCAATTAAACAAAATTGCTGCTATCCATTGATAATCCAAAAAGAAGACGTTTGATTATCTCTTTTTCTTTCTTATTCATTTCTATTCTATTTAACTGCACTCTATATTCATTTCGTAACCTAAACCATAAAAGCCTCCATTTAATTTTATTATATTCATAAGGCTCTTTTTCTTTGTAATCCTTAAAATAATACTTAAATTCTGCATATTCTTTATCTTCATTTTTCAATGATATCAAACCAGTTAAAAAAAGAGTAGGCAAAAACATAATGGTCAAGAAATAAAGAAGAAACTTTTTAAACCAATTAATTTTCTTGGAATGAATCTTTTGTAATATATCGATTTTATCTTTAAAATATTTATCCATTATGGCATCATCCTTTATACATGTTAATTGAGTTTTTAAATAATCTAATTCGTTAAGATGATGATCTAGATTTTTATCTTCCTTAACTTCAGATAAAATTGCTCTTATTTTTGCATCTATGACATTCAATTTATTCATTTTGTCTTGCGATGCCTTATATTCAGTATATGTATCATTTTTAATCATGGACTTAATCATAAGTTCTATAATTTCTAATACTATTCTTTTTACATCTTTTTCATCAGTAAAATTTTTTGCAGAGTCTATATCATCATAAGCTCTTCTTATAATCTCGAATAAAGTTTCAGGTTCCTTAATTTTTTTTGTAATAATTGCATTATAGTTATTACTTATGACTTTAGAAAAAATTTCTATTATTGAGCTTACGACTTCCAAGTCCTTTTCCGAGACCTTTTCCAAGTTTGCTTCCATGTTCTCGTTCTTTTCCATGCCCTCTTTGTATATGATCTTTTTCATCACAATTTTTGTTAACATATCCGGTATACTGCTTATGATATTAATTTTCTTATCGTCACTCTTGGTCTTATTCGTAATGCCTGATAAAACGCCCAAAATGTTAGCTACAATATTCAAATCTTCGCTTGAATTATGTAAATTATGTAATAATTTCTTAATGCTTTTGACTTTGTTCTCACTATTTGGTAGGTTATCTATAAATTCTGATATTGATTCTAAATTCTTTATGTATAAACGAACTTCCTTTTCGTTATTCTCGGCACCGCGTATAAGTTTAAATAAAATTTCCACCATTTTATTAATTATACTAACGTTAACTTTATTCTCGACCTTAGGTTTGAATGAAAATTGTACAATTTTATGCCATATATTGTTACCCCCGGTATCGCTCACATCATTATCTTTCTCGGCCTTAATTTTCAATAAAATTATCGGCATTAATATTTCTTCCAGACTTTTATCTCCTTTATTTTTATCGCTTTTACTTTTATCGACTACAACTTCAATATTCTCGGCTTCTTCGTTTACAATTTTCTTGACTTTAATTTCATTGCTTCCATTTTCATCAGCTTCAACTTCAATATTCTCGGCTTCTTCGCTTACAATTTTCTTGACTTTAATTTCATTGCTTCCATTTTCATCAGCTTCAACTTCAATATTCTCGGCTTCTTCGTTTACAATTTTCTTGACTTTTTTTTCATCGCCTACGCTCAATTTTTCTAATAAATTTTTTAATAAAGTTTTTAAAGTTTTTATCATTTTATTTACGTTATGCAGTTTGCCATCACTCATCATATCTGATAAAATTTGCACTATATATTTGCATCTCCAATCTCCTACCAACGTGTTCTTAATTTCCTTTAATTCTTTTTTTTTTAGATTAATAGTATCTTTCTGATCTGGCTTTTTATAAATTTCCAAAAGTTCCTGCAAAATTTCTTTTTCATTTT